ACAGGGCATGGAGCAGTCTTCAGGCAGGAGTACCACAGGAGGAATGCAGAGCTCCTTCTAAATTAAGTTCTTTTTAAATTGACTGTCTTTGGGGAGGATTTTCTACAGATGTCAGATTTACAAGTCAGAGCAAGCAAGCCTGACCAACAGAGTTCCATTTATACAGCCATTGGTCAATATTTTTATTCAAGACTTTTTAGTCTACCTCATTAAAAAAACACTTTTAGGAGTCATCATTAACTTCTCTTCTTCCCATTCCACTAATTAAAGCTGCAGTTGGTCAATATTTGCCTTTAGGAAACCCAGTCTGCCCCACTTCACTCTGTCCATGCTTGTGGGCTAACTGGCACATAAAGGACCTTGGAAGAACACTCTTGTGAACAGCTTCCAGACAGTTCTACCCACATTAATTACAGGATTTTATGTATGTGTGTATATATATATGTATATTAGATGTTATTCTCAGATTCATCATTATGTATGATTTGTGTATTATGCTGCAGACATTTTTAGTAGTATTTATAATAGTAATACTCTGCATCTGGTTCCTCTGTGGATGAAAGGCTGCTTGCTGGTTCTGAGAGACATCTCCCTCTCCCAAAATTATTTTCATTGCTGTCATATCTATCTGTAAGTTTGGGCTGTTAATCTTTTGGGTAGGTGCACAACAGCCACACAATATTCTGGGTTCCCCACAGTGTATCTGTTGTATCTGGTTTTGGTGGATTCTTACCTACTTGATTTGTAGGATTTTTTTTTTTAAATAATATAATTGGTGTGTCCTTAATTTCTGCAAAGTAACAAGGTCTGATAATCTTCTCACTCATTTTAATATGAACTAGACATATGCCTTAAGTTTCTAAACTGCTTTACTTTTATAATGCTAAAGCAATTATATTCCACTATGTACAAAAAGCCACAAGGGAAAAATCTAAGTAATTACCAAGTCTAATTATACACATTTGTAGCTCAATATTGGACCTTCTTAGAAGAATTCTGTGATGTTACCCCAAACATGAATTTGTTCCTTCTGAAATTCAACATTTACTCAAAGGAAAAACAAATAGTAGCGTTATAATTGAACTGAGAAGAGCAAGAGAATGTGTGGCCAGTAGCAGTTAACTACTAATGTTTGCAGGTTTAGAGGGTATTAACTTCTTTTTTTTTTTTAATTTTAATCCACTTCAGCACACTTAATGCTAATTGTCATAAACACTTGTCTCCAAAGTGTTTCATGGTTCCAGTAACAAGACAGCGTGCAGCTTTACATGAGCTGTCGTGGTCACTGATGAAGGGATCTGTGCTGAAAATGGCAGTTGTCCTGTAACCTCTTTGGCAAGGGTCAAATCTGTCTTCTCAGTCTCCAATCGTGGTGAATTTAATGCTTCTCATTTTCTATCTGCAGGAAAAATTGTTCCTGCAGAGCTTGAAGCTCTTCAAGTTGGGAGGTTCTGAACGGCTTAATTTCCACACTGTAGGGTTTAGTGTACAAGTGGCTGGGAGATGCTTCTGTTTCACATCTTGTCCATGAGGCTAATCAAATGTTTTCCAATTACAACAATCAGCTCATCAAGGGAAACAAGCCAGTGTTGGGCTTGCATCCAGTTCCTCCTAAGGCATTTTGCATCAGAGATTAATTCCATGGCATCGTCTTAAGGCTGAGGATTCACCAGGGAGCTGGAAGTCCGTGGAGCAGGGGAAAAGAAAAGGACCTGGATGGCAGAGAATGATTGTTACTGCTCACAAAAGTCGAGTGGCATAGTTTCAGAGGTCAGCCCTCACCTCAAGTACACGATGTTTTCTTCTGTCAGACACCTCTGGCAGCAGAAAGCTGACCTAGAGAAAAACCACTCGGCGAGGAGGTTGCAGTTTCACGTTGTGCCCTGGCTTCAGAAGCCGGTGCTGCAGTCTGAGGACAAAGGGCAGCCCTGGCTGTGTGGGCAGAGGTGCCAGTTCAGCACTGTCCCTGGGGCTGGGAGCTGCTCTCACTGGCAGGGCTCTCTCAGAACACGAGGCACCTGGAAGGACAGCGAGCGCCCGTCGCGCTTTCTTCTCTTGCGGCGCACAGGGTCACATTCTATAGAGTGAGGGATGAATCAATCTTTTGGGTCAGTTCAGCCCAAACTAAGTTGTCATGGCAACAGTGCAAAAGTTTAGCCAGCTTAGCCACAGGACAGCTACTAATGTGAGTATCACATTGATAATATTGATAATATTTTAATTTCAGGCGGTTTTAAACTGCTTGATGATGTTTTTAGTTTTCAGATTCAGAAGAGGAAATCAATTCTGTGTCCTCCTTCAACAGCATAAAGGGATTTTAAGCATTACCTAATGCTTGTCATTCCTCTGCATTGAGATGCAGTTCTTCCATCCCCTCTCCTAAAGGTTAAATCCTGCTCTGAATTTGGTGTGCTGCTTTTAGTAGGCTCTGGACGAATCAATGCGATAGGCAATTACAAATACAAAATAGCTCCATGTGCCATCATTAGGGATGCCTCCAGAAATAATAATGATAAAATTTAGCTGCTCTTAGTGCTTAAGAGAGTTGTAGTAAAGCTGTTGTTGGCATCTGTCATCTATCAAATCAAAATTACTTGGGGTGGAATACTGATAAGCTTGTCCTTCAGCTTACACCTAGCCTGGCAAAAGTGTCAAAGTTGCTTTCATTTTATGGATTATTTTTGTGGCATACACAAAATTAATTTGCTAATGATCCCTGCTTCCAGGTAGCTGTCCACACTGCATACCTTCTGCACCACTTCCCAGCTGCATATTTTGTTAGTCTTTCTGAACTGAAAAAGTTGATATGAAACGGGCAGTTTCACTACTAATGGATAATTTTGCTTGGAGTTAAAACAGGCAGGAGTGGGGGGAAGGGATAAAAGCAGCACTGGGAAAGAATAAAGATGCTCTTTATATTCTTCACTAGGGAATATTTTGGCATTGTATCCCAGAGCCAGTTTGCTATCTATTTTTCTAAGGTTAACTTGCAACAGTTCAAATCACAGCTATTTAAAAAAGTTTCCATCAAACGACCTTTATACTTGGAAATATCTAGGGAAATAGTTACCTAATGATGTGGGGCAACATAAAAATAAAAATCCTTCTTTTACCTAGTTTAAACTTATAATTGAGATGATTTCTAGAAGAATCCACAGTGAATCTTAACCTGACCTGAAAGTTAATTAGATTACCATGGATATTGTGTCCTTTGCAAACAGCCAGGTTAAAAACCACGCAGCTAGTAATCCCTTAGTTCTTTACACTGAGTTGCTTAAATAATTAGTAATGTAAAAACTTTTAAAAGTTATTTGTCTTTTCATTCTGCTTTTCAGTCCACGGCAACTTTTCTAACCACTCTCACTTTGCCTTGTAATGAATCCCAGAAATGTTGGTTGGATGTGGCCTCTGGAAGACATCTGGTCCAACCTCCCTTTAGAAACAAGACAGTTGCCAAAATAAGATCAGCCATGGCTTTGTCTAGTTGAGTCTTGAAAACCTCCAAGGATGGAGATTTCACAATCTGATTTACTGCAGTAGTTTGCAAGGTAACGTACAACAAAAATCTGTGAAATCTTTTCAGTTTGACTCTTCACTAATTCTGAATCTGATTTTGGCAGCTGTTGCCTGGCAAGGAAGCTGCATTGCCACTTCTGTAGGCAAGGTAATTGCAGGGTGCTGTAAAGGTGGGTTTCACAGCACCTAATTTTAGCTACGTGTGAATTGGGTACCTTGTTAACCAAGGAATTTCCCCCTATAAGCAGTGCAAATAAGTCCAGACTTACTTAGATGCCTTCAGCCAGATAGAGGAATTCCTTCCCAACTGGGCCAAAGCAGGGTGGGGACTACACCTCCAGCTTTGTTCAGCTGGGAGGTCATCCTACTTAGCCAGTGCTGCCAAAAACCCAGAGGAGGCAGAACACTGATAACCATAGCTCTTGGTGCCTTCTCAAGCCCTTCCCTCCTGCTCTTCCTTCACTTCCTGGGTTGGGGTTTTTTGTTTATTTGACCATAATGATTTTGCCCTGGTCATCATTCTACCCTATTGTTCCTTTTGGTTACAAAGGGGTAGTGAATTATTTTGTATTTATTTGAATTTTGATATTTTCCCAGGATTGTCATGGCTTGGAAAAGGGTGACTCAAAGATGGGGGTTTGGGATGGGGTTTTTTTTGTGTGTGGTGCCTTTGGTTTGTTGGGGTTTTTTGTTTTGGGGTTTTTTTTGGTGTGTGTGTTACGCAAACACTTGGGGGTGGAAAGAGGATTGTAATGTGGCTGATAGAGGAAAGATTTTGCAAGCAGCAGTTTATTGCTTAGGATGCCTGGGGGGCCTGCATGGTTATGCAAACTAGTGCCCCAAAGGGGAAACATCCTGTCCTTCTTTTCCTTCAGCATAACAGGAACAGCAGATAGAGGCAGGGGCAAACACTGGCTTAGAGGAGAGCTCCCTTAACAACTTAGAAAGTATCTTTATTCCATTTCCACTCTTATTGTTCTGCCAGCAAATAGGTGGTAAAGTCTCTTTCCTCCTGATGAAGCAACATAAGAAAGGATATATTTTGCTCTTCTTATTTTATTACCTTGGATGTTTTGTTGGTTCTTCAGCAGCACTTAAATTGCGTATAGCAAGATAAAAAAGCATCTGACCTTTCTGAATTGACTTCCTGGCTCTGCTGTTGTTGCATGGAGGCTGCCTGAGAACGGATATTTTTCTGTCTGTGGTCTGTGAAGTGGCTCACTCGGTGTTACTGGGTGTCTCAGGAGATTTTGTCCTATTTTTCTCTTCCCTAAGACTTACTCTGCTGCTTTAGTGACAGTGGCGTTAAAATCGATGGCTCGTACAAGTTCTCCTAAACCTCAACTTAGAGCTGTTTTAAGCTTTACTAAATAAAATACATGCTGAAACAATTGCTATAAAGTGTGTCTAGGCTTTCCTGATGGATGCAGGGTTTGTACTTGCTGGGCCTGAAGTATCTGCTGTCGTCCATGCCTTGGGAGCAGTGTGTTGAAGTCTCTCTCTGATGCCTCGCAGGACCCTGAGGATGCTGCTGTGCCTGTGGGGCAGAGGAGGGCCTGGTGCTGGTGCATGTGCTTTGGCTTGGCCTTCATGCTGGCTGGTGTCATCCTGGGAGGTGCCTACCTGTACAAATACTTTGCATTCCAGGTAAGTCAGATGCATTTTGTTATGAGAGGGTTGTGTTTTTCTCTGTTATGCCTTTTGTTGAGAAAAGGAGTAACAGACCAAAACCCAATAGCCTTGCTGTGCCAGTTTGGATCTTTCTAAAATTTCAGCTTTTCTGAAGGCACAGCCTGGTGCCTGCTCTGAAGATAGCTGTTGGCAGAGGAGTGCAGGAATGAAGCTGGCAAATAAGACAGCAGCACTTTTGAAAGCCTTACTTTGCAGAGAAAGGATTATATCTAAACAGGACTTGGGTACAGGAACCCCAGTGGTGTCCTGGACTTTCACCTCCTCTCTCTGCTCTTTCACAGTGCTGAATACTGGGGGTGGATTAACCCCTTGAAAGCCTCCTTGTTTGACCCCACATTGCCTAGACACAGGGTGCTGCTACTGTACTAATGCACAGGAAAGGGACTGCTTGTGAAAGCAGCACAGTGACTCTCCTTTTTCTAGCCCCAAGGGAGTAAGAAATAAGGCCCTGCAGGGAGAAGCCAGGACTTGGGAGAAGCACAGTCAGCATGGCTGAAGATTGACTGTCAAGTCAAATGCACACTGACAGGATCAGACCTCTAACAAAATGTATTTTCAGTCTTTAAGACGTGGCACTGCTGCCAGAGGAGCCCTGTGAGGGAAGTGGTGCCAGGAGAGTGGAGCTTTCATCTGAAACAGGGCAAATCTGAGTTAAATATTGTCTTCCCCAGTCAAGGGCCCAGCATACCCAGTACTGCCCAGGGACAAATCCCCCTAAGTGCAGCAAGCACACCTTCCCTCCTTCAGGAGCTGCCAGGGTTGTACAGAAAGGGAGATTGTGAGCAAAATGTGCAGAATCTCTCTAGCCCCCTGGGTAGTGCACATAATGATAAGGTAGAAATTTTCTGTTCTTCCTCCTGCTACTGGGATTAAATTTTCCCCCACATTTTAGTAGCTGCTAATGTGGAAGGCAGAGTGATTAAAACTAAGAAATTCTAGCTGAACTTGCAGTTTGTCTCTTTGGCTATCCCATTAACCTAACCTATGGGGGAGCAGTGGTGTTGCAAATGATGCTTCAGCAGCACAGCCTGTCCTGGTGGATTAACAGGCTCAAAGCAGCTGAAGGTCTGGCTGTGTCCCCAGTGCATGTTTCATGTGTGTTAGCACCCTGGTGCTCCACCTCTCCTGTGCCAGCTGAGTGCTGTTTAACTCAGTCTGTGGTGCCTGCTTGAGAGTCAGACCTGGGTTGAAGATCTCACTCAAGACATGATTGCAATGTCAAACTTTAAATTGATGGCATTAAGTTGTATGGTTTTAAAACTATCTGGTCTATAAATTTGGTTTATGACTTCCTCTGACTCAGGACCTGATGCTTCACTTAGGTAACCTGCCATGTGTACTGTGACAGGAGGACACAGATTGGTTGTTTTAATTTCTTCTTATTACCTCTTTGTCTTCTAAAATGTGTTTTCAAAAATGTTTTAGAAATTGGCTTTCAAAATTTCTGAAGCCTTGCAAAACTCACCAGCTTCACAGGATAATGGAGGTTGCAGGGAACTCTTGCAATCATCTGGTCCAACCCCCTGCTGCAGGCAGGACCCAATTCAGAGTTGGGCTTGCTTTTTAAAGGTGATTTAGATGACCAGCTTCATGGCTTTAAATAGTAATCATTGACTGCAGTTAAATCATAATTTAATAAAAATGTGCATGCATGTAGATATAGGAACTTGGTTTTCTGTCTGAAAATAAGATGCAGTAAGCTACAGATAATGGATGCAAAACTGAAGCCTAGATTTTAAGAACCTGCTTTTGGGATCCTGTTTCCCTTGAATTCAAGGGAAGGACTCCCTCTGGGTTCAGTACAATCAAGTTCTTACCCGTGGTCCTGTTGTAGATAGCAACTGGCTCCTGCTTTGGTGTATGAATCAAATTAAAGGGAAAAAAATTCATCTAGTCTGACAAGTTTTTCATCTCCACAGTGCTTGGAGAATATTAGCTTTAAACTTCCAGCACGGCTACCAGTGTGTGTTGTTGGGTTGTTTGCTGTTTTTAGCAGGGTGGTGTGTATTTCTGTGGAATAAAGTACATCGAGGACGGCTTGAGTTTAGCAGAGCCTGGGGCTGAGGCTCAGAGTGCTCGCTACCACACGATTGAGCAGAACATCCAGATCCTGGAGGAGGAGGACGTGGAGTTCATCAGCGTGCCGGTCCCCGAGTTCGCCGACAGCGATCCTGCCGACATCGTCCACGACTTCCACAGGGTGAGGGGTGCTTCTGGAGGGGTGGAAGGCATTGAAAAGCTGAAAAACGTTCCCCCTCAGTCATCCTGATCAGTGTGCTCCCTGATTATTGTGCTGGGGGAGAGCGGAGGAGACAGCAGGAA